GTGTGCTTGTTACTTTACCAAGACTGAGCCAAATTTGTTATGAATTTGATGACTCTAGAACCTTGCAGTGCACACCAATACTTACATGCTACATGATCAACTTTTTCTGATGCATTCCACACCTTTTCTTTCACAATGTAATCGCATGACCAGAACTCAAGTTTATCTTTAATCGCAACTATTTACAATCAGACGAGCCAACTCCATTGTACACCGACTCCAAACCGACCGATCCTTGTCCATGGAAGGTAAGGTTTGTCTGGTCTGTTGTTGGTCAGTGGCCCCTTCTTAAAAAACAGCTGCGATTAATCGCAACTATTTACAATCAGCCGAGCCGACTCCATTGTTCACCGACTCCAAACCGACCGATCCTTGTCCATGGAAGGTAAGGTTTGTCTGGTCTGTTGTTGGTCAGTGGGCCCCTTCTTACAAACAGCTGCGATTAATCGCAACTGTTTACAAGACAGGGCCATGGTGTCGATCCCGTTCGTGTGACTTGGGTTTTCAATTTTACTTTCTCGGTTCAGAAACAAAAGCCAGGCAGAAGCACGAGTCTGAGATGTGTTTTGAATGGTTGATGTGACTGAATTTCCAAGTGTCTGCCACCAAAAAATCTTCACCCAGTCCTTAGAAATGTTTCTAGCACTATCGGAAAGGCTGTCAATGAACCAAATCAAGGGTAAATTAAATTGCCTATGTCATAGGACCTCTCCATTTCCCCAAAATATAAATGCAGTTAAATTTAAAAATGCAATTTTTTGTTTGTCTTCCTCAAATGTATAAATTACTATTAAGATTTGTTTATTACAAATGTTACTGTTTTGTAGGGGGCATTTAATTGCTTTTCAGTGTACCTCTCCATTTCCTCAAAATATAAATGCAGTTAAATTTATATTTAAAAAATACAAAAATAAATAAATAAAATAAAATCAATTTTTGTCTTACTCAAATGTATAAATAACTATTAAGATTTGTTTATTACAAACGTAACTGTTCTGTATAGATTTTACATTGTATTCGTTATTATGTATCGTATTCTGTTAGAAATGAAAAAATAAAAATGAAATGAAATGAAATGAAATTGCCTGTAGAAATCATCGGCATTCAAAAAGCGCTAAACAATTCAATTAACATTGTCTTAGGTTGTTTGCTTTTTTCTTTATATTGATTTTTTTTTTTTTTTTTTCTTTGGTTGTTTTTTTGCATTGTCTAGTTTGGTTTTTTAAAGTCTTTGAGATCGTGTTTTCCATTCATGTTCTATTAAACGTGAGATATTAAGAATGACATGTATTTTTAAAGAATTTATCAACATCATTGAACCAAAGGATGATACACACATATATCAGTAGTACAAATGTACCCTCGAGAACCCGGGACTAAAATATACCAAGCCCACGTACATATTTCATGAATTGCTTACGTCACAATAGGTGTGGTCATTATACACCCCCTATAGCTCATACCCACATCGACCAGATGCATACGATTAATATCATATTCTTTTAAAGGAACGAATAGTAGCACGAGTCGAGACTCTCAACAATTATTTATTCTTTTCTTGATAGTTTCCGAGTCTAAGAAAGATTAATCCTTGTCATAAACTTTGCTGCCGTATTCTCAAAAAATGAAATAGAATGAAAAATAAACGCAACATAAGTTTGTCTTCTTCACCGACATAACTATACCATTATAATGTCATCAGGGAAAGGAGAAATATAACAAAAAAATATGTGGAAGGAAGTGACATTGCTATATTGATGTCATTGGTATACTGATGTCATAAGCGCTGTTTTATAATCTCCAGAAAAAGGGGCGTACTCTCTTTTACTTCAAATGTTACTTTATATCTTGTACCTATCTATCTATCTATCTATCCATCTGTCTGCCTGTCTACCCATCCATCCATCTATATATCTATCTTTCTATTTCCATCTATCTATCTATATATTGCCATCTCTCTCTCTCTCTCTCTCTCGCTCTCTCCGACTCTTTATCTATCTATCTATCTAACAAGAGCACATATTTTTCACTACGAATTGTGCTTTATAAGTCAATGAGTATGACCTACTCGCCCATATCTTTGATTGAGATATCGGCATCATAGGCCTATGAAAAGGTCTCTGTAACGTTAAAGACTGTCGCAGTAGCAACAACACAAACAAAGGCCATAAGCAAGAGTCTCACATTGTCCGTCTACCAACTAGATACCATCAATCTAATAACGAACAGGCCTCTTCTTCCTATTAAAGAGAACGTTGTGATCTGGTAAGAGTGAGCAATCTTCGTGAGCTTTCACATTCTTTCGCTTTAGGCCAGTTTGAGAGAACATCTTAAAACAAAATAAAGTCCTTTGAAAAAGGACAGCTCTACAAAAGCCCTCATATTTGAAATAATATGACTAGAAAAAAAAGGAAAGCTTAAACTAAGTATTCATGTTAAATGTGTTTGTAGTCCCATATACCTTTGCGGTGTGCAGTCAATGTAATATTAAGCAAGACTGCGTCCATTTCTGATTGTTTTGATCAATCAGTGTCAATTCTGAAATGTATTCACTACAAACTTAATCTTTCCTAGCTGCTTCCGGACAGTTTATGTCACAATGTTCGCTTGACTACTTTCCGGCTTTACCTTTAAACTTGTCTATCGCATCTCACTTTCTCAAACATGCGCGAAGCGAGTATAGCATCATCACGTTTTAAACTGGGAGCTTTAGAGGTTAAGTTCAAGTCCTGCATACCAGGCGTGCCTACCGCATCACGTCCGTTGGAAACTACTCGGCAGTGATACCTTAACCATCTGTTGTGTGCTGTGTGTCTTCATTCCAAATCTCCCATGTGATATTATACAAGATGGTGACTTTAGTGGGGGAGGGGCGGGAGGGGGGGGGGCAGATCCCTCTCCCCATGGGGTGCATTGGGACCTCAGTCACACCAACCAAACCAACACTATATTGACAACTGTACACACCGAACAATACCCCCAATGGAAAGAATCGAGCGGTATGGGATCGACGTGGACTTGGTTTGGCGATGTGACTTAGGCATCACACGGATATGTCAAAGGCAAAGGCACCCCAACACCAGTTTTCGATCGAAGATTGTGTTTGTGTGTTATTATTATTGGCCCTGTTTGAGCCTTTCAAATCTTTAGGAATTACTAACGTAATCGACATGAACAAGATTGCAAAGATTCTCAAAACATTAATATGATCAGCATCAGGCAATTTCCCAGCCGAGTGCTGTCTGTTTATATGTTGCGAACATGAAAATTAAATTGCTTACAACCCGAACATGATTTCTATAAGCAACATGCCTACAATATGGTTTGAGATTGCACTTGAGTCGATTTCTATAAAGTCTTTGCGCTCGTTTTACTACATAGAATACGTATACATCAGAATGAAGCTGTCGAAACCTGCTAATGAAAAATTGATAAATGGAGAACACACTACAGAACTTGTTTTTTTCCAAATACAACATTATATCCATCCGGTGGCCCACGGGCTGAATTACATGAGATGTACAATATGAAAGCAAAGAAAAGAAGATATGGTACAATTTGTCCTTGTTTCCACGAAGTGACGGTAGTGAGGAAAATCGTAACGTCGTAACCGTCACTTCGTGAAAACAGCGACGTATATTGTTGTATTATAAAAGTATATTGTGTGTTTTATCGTCAAAATCATATTTTTGAGGCAATTTCCGCATAAACATTTGTTTCAATAGCTAAGCAAATACCTCCCACGAACACACACACGCACACACACACACGCACACCCACGCGCGCACACATACACACCACCACCCACATACACAATTTAGGAATAATGAACATAGGCAATAGTTTCGATAATCAAATTCATTTATATATCCCTTGATCTAGTGAAGGACATCATCCTCAATCGATGATCGATATTCAAACTGCCTGGTATTTACGAAAGACTAAATTCTTATCAGAAATGACATTGGCATTTCGGCTATCGCTCCCCACATCCGACAAACTGGTTTCACTCAATGATCATATTTATTATGAGAATTTTCTGCAAAATTAAGCCTGTTTTGTTACCAATTTAACGCGAACCAACGCATCAAAAAGTCAGTGGTATGTTTTTTTATAACAGTTTTACTGTGTTTGCGATACGGCAGAATGTGGCAGTCCTTATAAAATAAATATTACAAAGACCGATGACGTTTGCGTTTTACTTATAACATTCAGCCTGTTTACATGAGTAAAGAAAATAGCATGAACGTGAAACAGAGTGCACCTCCGGATCTTATTATGGATAAAGGCCTAGGCCTATTTATCTTTTACATAGCCTAATACTTAACATTCTCCATGTACCAAAATCCTTGACGACTGTTACAAAAAGAAAGGGAAAATATCAAGTAAGTAACGTGATTATTATCAGGACTCTCTTGTAAGTTGTAACTTGATCATTTCTAAACAGGGAAAACTTCACAGCATCTTAGAACTGTGAGTATCTTGTCCAAGGTAATTGACTGATTTTGCAATTCATTTCGAGGTGGGGCCTACGCCCAAAGTATGCAGTTTGATACAAGATAACCAACGCATAAAAGGAAATTAAATATATTTTGTGAATAATGCTTTTGATATATTGAACATCGTTTTTGCTAACTTCCATCAAAAAACGTTTCAAACATTATAACTGAAAGGAATAGTGAAACTTCACAGGCTATAGTACATTCTTGGGAATACGTGTAAGAGAGAGAGAGAGAGAGAGAGAGAGAGAGAGATGAGAGGGAGAATTCTGTGTCATTTAGACATCATAAATCATAGGAAATAATGGAAATAATGATTTCTACGCAAAAGTGGTGACAAGTTTGAAATCGTACATAACGTTCAATTGCAAGCACAACAAAGATACAGCATAACTTTTTTATAAACAACAGAAAAAGAGAGAAGAAAAAAAAAATGCAAAGGATTATCATTAATTTCATCGATGAGAAAGGAGATAAATAACGACATTCCTAAATACTCACCTAAAAATAGTGACGAATAGAGAAGAAAGCCAATAATAACAATCCGCATTGGATAGCGCAAGAGTCCCTGTAAATCCATCTTTAGATCAGCTGCTATTCAACACAAGCTCACAGGAGCAAGACTTCTGGTTTTCTCTACGAACAAAACACCGAAAAGTCAATCCAAAAATCACAAGAAGTATTATCCAATCACGAATTTGGTCAGTTGAGTTCGAGTGATATTTAGTCGTCGCTAAAGCTCAGTGATATCCTCCACCATAATGTTTCATGACTGCCAATGCCAGGTGGTTGGCACAGGTTAAAAAAAACAAAAGTCAACACATTCAGCAAATTGTCAGACTGGCCGAGATAGAATGAAGATCGAGATCAAACATCACCCGACCCTCCCCAATCTCTAACGAGTTTCAGCGACAACAAACTTTCGCACGTAAAGAAGTTTTGCGCGCTCGTGCCAGTCGTGTGTCGTCTGTGTGGATTGTGCAAGTATTTAATCCGCTGAATTGTGCGAGGCTGCCCTATTGGTTAGTGAAATGATAACGCGCGCGTGCGTGACAGTTCCATTTCCGTCTAGCGGTCATGCACATCGCCAACTTTCAAAGTTTCTTAATCGGTCGATTCGCCACTCTGCAACTTGTATGACTAAAGAAAGACAGGTGGTAGGCAACTTTAATAGAGGCATAATGTATACTAGTGTAGTGTTCAAAAGCTTACATGTATGTATTTCATGCAACTGGAAAACTTCTCTCAACAGTGGTGAAAATTGTACAGACATAACAAATTGATTGCGGAATAGAGGAAGTATTAGTCGGACATTGATTAGAGAAAACATGTAGTTCGCGCCATTATACTTGCACAAATCTCTCGCCTAATCGCAAGGGCATGCTATCGTCTGGAAATTGAAGTTCATTACGTTTGTCATGAACGGGCTGTGTGAATGGTACTGATGTTGTTATTTGATACAGACATCTGGCGTGTTCAGTCTAGAGCCGACAGTACAACTATGTTTGTGTCTAGCCGTTGAAACGGGGTAGGCCCATACTTTTACATGATATTTTTTTTTTCTCGAAGTATAGAAGATGGTTTTGTTAAACGGAGCGAAAGTTCTCATAGAAATACGAAGATGATGGGCATAGCCATGTGAAGAATGACCTATAAAGTCGATAGATAAATGAAATTAAATGAAAATAATGACATTTTCCAGCTAAACATCAGAGTGATAATGACATTGAACATAATATTAGCATTATCAATGTAATCGTTAGTCATTAAAAAAAGTCATAAAATGTTCGAATTAATGTCACTTTTCTACCTTATCCAAGAAAGGAACAAAATTGAGCGTTTCCAATCTTATTTCGATGATTTTTTGCCAGCACCTTGCAGGAAAATGTTCATATTAAATGATTCATTAACCAGTTGCATTTCACAATTTTGCTCCAGAATGGACATGGGATCGGAATGTATAGTCCTACATGTTGACAATTGGAACAGTGGCCTTAATTCGTCAAAGCTACGGCGTTCAGGTAACATTTGGGTGAATGTTCGCTTAAAATCAGGGTTAGGTATAGTGTTTTGTCCAGGGAGGTTGAAGTTTGGAATTCAATTAGTGCAGGCAGGCATGGACAGTGGCATGTCACGTAACCCAACCATGATTTATACAGGCATTGCAGTAGGGTATTGCCCCTAGGCTGATTTCTCGAAAGTTTGGGCAATCGTGTTGCAGGAAAGGTCTGCCAATGTGAACATGATGACAAAATAATAATCCATAAACGCACTCTAAGCTGTTCAATCTAATTTTGTTAACGGAAGAGCAATGGTAGAAAGAAGATCAAAATGCTCTCGAGGATATTCTTCGTACTGTATTCTAACGGTTTCCCATTCATTGATTTGCGGGGGGGGGGGGGCTAGAAATATCACCGCTGCGTCTGGGTCAGATAGATACACATGTTCCTATCCGTCTAGCCGCTTTCCTCTTGAGTTACATTTGTTCCAAATTACACTAGAATCCGCTCCGTATATATATCGTTTACGAGTGGATATCACTCGCAAAAGCGGTATCAACTCGCAATGTCATCAACAACATAAATACACAGTTCTTTCTGTGTTTTTCTTGACATTGCACTCCAAACAGGAATCCTTAATGGAAAATCTAACCTAAATAGACAACTACTCCAAAAGAAAGCAGGACAACCAGAGAAGCAAACTAATAAAGGCTTCAATTAAATTTGACTCAATATAACAAAGTTATGATTTTTTTTAAAAGTAGTAATCATTGTACGTATGGGCACTTCAAATTGACTGAAGCGGTAATGTTAATGGGTTGTACCGCCGGATTACTTTACCGTTTGTACCAACATATAAAATGACTAAAGATAATGGCTCAGGAGGGTCTATTATTTTTAGAGGACCTATGATACTTGCTATCTATAATATATTTTTGAGTAGTGTCCCAGGGGAGAAGGAACTTACGAGAAAAACAGAAAGTATTGATGTGTTTGTACACGGCAATGGGAGAGTTATCCACGTCCTACGCGTCACAATCCACTGACCAACCTACCAATTTGAGATTCGCAAAGACTAAGAGATCTCCTATTTCAAACGTTAATAACTTCCTTACTGTTGGTTCGATTCATTTCAAACTTTTTTCATTCTGTTTCTGTTATTTTTCTGCTTTCATACAAAAACCAACTTGTGACAAGGGTTGGATTGCCCTTACATGACCCCCCCCCCCCCCCCCCCCCTCCCGAAAGTGGAATTCCACTCCTGGACATTGAGAGAGTGTGAGAGATGATAAGTGGTAGGCCTGTTACTAAAGATGGGCTGTGATGATAGAAATCAATGTGAACAAGTCTATAACTACATTTATCATGTTTAATTCACCATTGTCTGTAGGATGAAGTTTATTCACAAAAACCTTACAACACTCTGACTGCAAGCATGCTCTATTTTGCATTGCCAAGGAGGAGGGTTTGGTCCTCCAAAGTACACGTAGTTCATTCGGTAGCACGTGATAGGAAAGAGAAAAGGGGTACTTTGAGAAGTGGGTATGGGTTTTCCTTTCAACCTTTCATGAACCTCCTCAAGGATATTGCCTTCCACCTAAGAGTCTCTCTCTCTCTCTCTCTCTCTCTCTCTCTCTCTCTCTCTTTCTCTCTCTCTCTCTCTCCGTCTGTCTGTCTTTCTACTTCTTCCCCAGAATTTTGTCTTCCTCCTGAAATGCAGCAAGTCGTTGGTGGGCGATATCCTCTGTCGGAATGAACCTTCGCACGCAAAGATAAACTTACAATTATAGCCTATCATTTACACTCCCATTTTATCCAGAACCATGGACAAATTCTGCAAGTTCGTAAACTAATAGAACTTTTGAAAGTGCTATTTTATCAAGTGTGGATCCGGGACTTTGTAAATGGGGACACAATTCCGAAGAAATACATGTGACAATAACTGTTTTTTTTTATCTCGTTTTGAACTGAAGTTATGCCAATATCAGGTTCCAAAAGGGAGCACTGGTCATTAGTGCCTCCAAAAAAAATTATCCACCTTTAACATTTCTATATTTTGATGCCAGCACCCGAGAAGATGCTAAAGAAGTGGCAAGGCTAGCTTGACCCCTTTTAGGATCATTTTTAGAGAGTAGCACATTTTTAAGAAAGGAAATAATCGATCATTGTAAAAAGTTAAGGACAGGCATTTTACATACAAACAGTCAATACATTCTCACATGCAGTTATTTTATCCCTAGACTTAAAAATCAGAAGTCCTAAAGAAAAAAATGTTTTTGTGGTAATGTTTTGTTTTTCTTCATATTTTGTTCGTTAATATATGAACGTTTATACATGAAATTTAGACTTTTGCTGAATGTATGAACATATACCGCGCTTCGTCTTACTACTTTTTTTCAGATATGGTGGAAGTCAACGAGTGATGTCAATATTCATTGGGGTTACTTCTCCTTATGGAGCAAAGAGGATGGGATGGAGCCGTTTGCAGTTTTTATTGGCCAAACCTGAATTATTTTCTATCACATTAAAGATTCCTGCAATAGTTTTTAGTACTCTAATATTCAACGACATATGTAAATTTCGAGTGAGAAATTCCATTTGACCTTCAGGCAGCATGGCTCGGAATGCACCCCCGAGATTTCCCGCCAACGAGCTGCAGCTGATTCAGAATATCCTCTTTCTTGTTAAAGTCCAGTTGGCACTTCTTCCTTCCTACGTCACCAGCGATTCCTCCACAGACTACTTAACGTCTGCTACAGTATCCCATCCAGAAGACTGATGTCTTGGGGTACAGCGCAGAGACGTGTTCTCGAGTCTCTGGATAGTGCTTAGATTCCCAGGGTCAAGGTATCCCAACACTGCCAACATCCAGGGGCGCTGCTATCGACCATTTTGAACGGGGGTACAGGACCAAACTATACGACTTTATCGTCCTTTTCATTCTCCTATGGAAGAATACCACAGTAGGAATGTCATCTGAAAAAGGATTCCTATTCAAATCTTATTCAATGAATACAATTAGTTTGGACCAAACATCTTTGTGTAGTCCCACATGCCCATTTATGTGTGCAGTGATAAAAACTGTATGTGATTATCAGCGAGTTCTAGTTAAGATTTGGCCATTTTCGATATTTAAAAACCTCCATAAACATACTACATGAAATTACATACTACATAATTATGATATATTTCACAATGGTTCTTTTCCAGGGCAATCACATCCTTATGCCAACATCCACGAGTGGAACCAACATGTTTTGTGACTTCCTTACACAACATTTTGATGGGGTGTATCACATCTCTAACATTCCTTCCCTTCCTCTGGCGACGGCCGTGCTAACACCGTGTAAAAGATGCCATAGAAAAAAGAAACATATTAACTTTAATATATAAAATACATGCGCTATGGAAAAAGAAAAATTTATTAAGAGGGGCTAACAATTATCCAAATATTCCCTACACTTTGTACATAACGAACTCAATTTCTCTTTCGAAATAAAAACGCGAATATTTTCCAGTAAGAGGCCAAAGACCATTCAATAAGGGAGTTTACAGATAGCACATGGTACAAATGACCCCAAATATCCACAGATCTTTTACACATGGAGAAGTTCCACTTTGAGCATCTTAGAATAATAACTGCCAAAGTCCTAGATGTGCTTCATGAATACCTTTTGTTTGACCTCTTGAAAAGAATACTTCCACCTGCGTATCATAGAATGTACCGTTGGTGCATAAATGAATGATGTTACATAACTTTCATGAGCACATATTCAGTATTCATCTCTGTGGGTTTTACCATTTTGGTACAAATGACCTTTATCTGCCCATGCGCAAACTGTATTTGTGAACTGGCTTATTGGGGAGAAACGTTCATTTTAGGCGAAACTTCAAGTACACAAGTACTATTACAATTTTCTTATAAAGCACTTTTATGTTGATTGTTGGTATGTATCAGAACATGTGGAATGTTAGGTGTGCGTTGTATTTTAAGATCTAGCAACTACTCTTTTTCCCTATTCAAAAAATTGTTTGGAAATTGAATTGGTCTTACTTTATATTTGTATCATGCTAATTTTCTGTCAAGCCATGCTCTTGATGTGC